TTAGGGCTGTTGTACATAGGGTCGCTATGAGTTGCAAACGACTCAATGGCATATAACAACAACAACAACATGTAAAACCTATACCTAGACCAAGAAGTGGTTGTCTAAACAGAGCAAGGAGACCCTGCGTGTTTTAAAATCAAGATAGATTTACATCAGGGCTAGATTCATTCTCCATACCTATTGAATATTGAATGCCAGAAAAAAATAATTCCAGAAGCTTGACTTTATAAAGAGGAATCTGTCATTAGGATCAGAGGAAGTATGCTAGGAGAACAAACATGTTCATCCTGGAGAGGGTGAAATCAGGCTGCTACTTGGAGGCAAGGATTCTGAAGTTCTGTCTGACATACTTTGGACATGTTGCAAGGAGGGATCAGTCCTTGGAGAGAGGCACATTATGCTTGGGACGGTAGAGGGAAAGCGCAGGAGAGGAAGACTCTGGAGTAATGGGGGTAGGTATGTCAGAGACAATAAGATTGGCTGAAGATAAAGCAAGCTTCAGGGCTGTTGTACTTCAGGGTCACTATGAGTTGAAAGTGACTTGGCGACACATAACAACAACAACATAAGTACACATGTACTGGAGGTCACTGCACAACAATGGGAGGGATGAAGTGGTAGGAGTCTGCCATTGATTGATGTGTCCTCCACTCTTGAAAAATCAATACAAATTTATGTATGTAATAACAGGCCATAGTCTTTCTAATCACTTGCTGTGCATCTGAGAGCTGGACAACGAATAGAGATAACCGAAGAAGAACTGATGCCTTTGAGCTGTGGTGTTGGAGAAGAGCACTGAACATCCTATGGACGGCCAAGAGAACAAACAATTATGTCTTGGAAAGGGTGCAGCCAGAGTGCTCTTCAGAGGCAAGAATGAGAAAAAGATTGATATGAATTACAGGTGACTTCATGGCACATAACAACAACAATGATATAATTTGAAAGCTAATAACTTGTTAAGCATCAGAGAGCTGGACAGTGGCTAGGGATGATAGAAGGAACGAACTGATGTCTTTGAGCTGTGGTGCTGGAGAAGAGCATTGAATGGACCACTAAGAGAATGAACAGGTTCATCCTGGAGAGGGTTAAACCAGACTGCTCCTTGGAGGCAAGGATTCCAAAGCTTCATCCAACATACTTTGGACATGTTGCAAGGAGGGACCAGTCCTTGGAGATGGACTTCATGCTTGGGAAGGTGGAGGGAAAACACAGGAGAGGAAGACCCTTGATGAGATGGACTGACACAGTGACTGGGGTAATGGGGTTGGTTTGTCAGAGACACTAAGTTTGGCACAGGATAGAGCAGGGTTTAGGGCTGTTGTATATTCGGTCACTATGAGTCTCAGGTGAACTCAACAGCACATAACAACAAAACAGCAATGACTTCTCAGGATCTGGTAAACCAATCCAATCAGCGCTCTAACCTAATGAAAGGGGAGGGGTTTCTCCAGGACATAGTTTGTAATATCTTTCATCGCGTTAGAAATGAAAAGAGAGGAAAGTGAGCTGAGAAGGGGGAGCTCTCAGTACCAGGAAGGAAGGGGGAGAGCATCCTTTTGAGTGAGTCTGTGAGGATGCTCTTGGACGCTGAGGAAAGCTAAGACACCTGGAGAGGTCCAGGGGACGCTGACTGCAGGCGCTGAAGGAAACATGGACCTTCTTCCAGACAGAGACAGCCTTCCTCCAGAGGCGGCACCTTGAATTTGGACGTCCAGCCTCTAACCCTGTAAGAGAATGCATTTCTGTTTGTTACAGTCACTTTGATGTCTCTGAGACAGCAGCCCTAGATAACTGAGATAGAGCCCCATCAGGAGGGGGCCCTGAACGTGTGGGCACTGACACTTTGAGGACGTGACCCTTGCCCTTGCCCTTGTCCACCAGTTGCCGTGTCACTATGCACACGATTTGTGTGCCTCATAATGCCCACGTGATTACATATGCAGTTGCTGGGGGTATCTCCCCACCTCAGGAAGGAACTACGTCCAGCACAGCAGCCCCACACAGGGAGGCCACAGAACCACACTGGAGCATGACTGCACGACATGGGCCCTCAGCACCGCGGGCTGAGTCTGTCCCATCCCCACCCTGTGCCCTACCTTTGAAACCACAGGCTCTTCTAACTCAGTCTCTGGTTCCTGAGGACGAACTGACACCTTACAGCCTGATAAACAGCACTGGCCACATTTGTCCTGTCTTCCTGAGCCCAGTACCCTAGGGGTAACCCAAACTTTGGAAGTGTCTTTTCTGCCCTAAACCCAAGTCTTAGCGCAGTGGGGCAAGCGGCAGAACCCTGTCCTTGTTGTACTGGAGAGCTCTTCACAGGATCCTTTTGTCTAGCTGGCGTCCAAGTGTTGTTACCCGGAAGTCTGCCAATCTGAGGCTCTTTCGGTCCACATGTCTTAGTCATCTCCCAACTTCTAGGGGCTGAGTGTGGGCCTCCAGCCACCAGTGATAGGCTTCGAGGGCAGAGTCCTATGTGGCACTTGCGAGGAACCCTCTGTCCGGCAGTGAGGAGAGGTTCACCTCTCTCAGAAGGGCTCCCACTTGACAGCATGAGTTCAGCTCTGAAAGCCAATTGTGCTGTGTCCAGAGAAAAGGGGATCAGCTCATTGGGGAGGTGGTGGTTGTGGGTTTCAAGGGAACTTCTGACCAAGTATCTTGGGGAAATCTCTGCATCACAGTCTTTACCACATCTCCAGTCTGTGGGTGACATCATGGCCATACGTATGTCATTCCATACTCCCCTGTCAAGATTCAGGCTGCCTCAATCCAAGCAGTTTCTACCAACTACTCTTGTGCCTGAGGCTAGGAGATTGTGGGGCATTTCAGGAGAAAACTTCAGCTGGAGTCGTCTAAAGAGGCTTTAGAAAAGTGCCAGAAGCCCAGAACTCCTGATGGAGGGCTGTCTGGGGATGGTTTGGAGGCGGCATGCTCTTTGACCTGCTACCTCTGTAGGGCTGTTCTCAGCTCCCTCCTGGTAACCAGGATTTGGGGGTGGGGCTAGAAGGGGGATGAAATTGGAAATATTTGGAGTAGAGGCTGCTTCTGAGTCTAAGACCTGAGAGGATCCCTCCCTCTGAGTGCCAGGTGCCTCTACTAGAAAGGTACAGTGACATGCCGGTCTCACCCTTCACCAGTTCATTCAAGGCCTCCCTCACACCACAGGGCTGGAGCTCACCTACCCTCTTCTGCAAATTGTCCTAAGATACGGGCACCTGGTTGGGCGGCGTGGGGCTTCTCCGCACCTGGAGAGGCGGCCTCAGCCTAGTGGGCGTGGCCATTGTCTCCTCCGCAGGTATGGGGCTGAGGTTGGCGTGGAGACTTAGATGCAGGACCTCATCCCATATCCTTTGGGGGATCCAGGGAGAAAACTGGAGGTGAGCAGAAGAGAGGCAACAGCCAGGAGGAGCAAGGAGGTTCAGGGCAGATGCAATATTCGATCCCAAGGGGTCCTACGCGCGGACCACCGCTGAGGGCACCTTGGGCGGGATGACTCAAGTACCTCCTCCTACCACATCCGACGCTGGACGTCTCCCCCGCGCACTGGGTCCGACCTTTCACACCTTTTGCTCTTCCTACAATCGCAGCGGGATATTTGTGGGCTCAGCGGCTTGTGTGTTCGGGGAGGGCTGTGCCAGGGGGAGGGGTTGCGGATAGTGCCAGGGACTCAAAAAGCCTCGGGTCCCGGCAGCGGGGCCAGAAGAAATGCGCGCGGCCGCGTGGGGCGTGGTGGCGCTGCTCTGCGCGCTCAGCCTGGGCCAGCGCCCCACGGAGGAGGCGCGCTGCGGCCCGGGTCTCACGTCGCGCGGGACTGGACCTAACGCTCGGTGCTGCCACTCCTGTGAAACAAGTAAGCCCCGCGCCGCCGAACCCCGCGATTAACGAGGTTGAGTGCTGAGCGGAGGCCAGGGTCTGGGGTGGGGCCTTGAGGAGAGGGGTGGGTCAGGGTCTCCACCTGGGGATGGGCTTCCTGGAGCCTGTTGCTAGGCGGGGACTTTGGGGTTCGTGATGAACTTTAGCCTGCCCCCAGGCCGCCTCTTGCCCAACTTGGGGTTTCAGCCAGCTACATCTCCCTGCCCTATCTCTCCCATCCTATTTCTGCCCCGCCCCCGCCCCTGCCCCGTGGCTGCAGCTGCGGGTGATAGGGTTCTGGATGTGCCACTCCGGGGCTGCAGACGCAGGAAACACAGGGCTTCATTCTGCCTGCCTGCTAGCGGGAGCAGACTCCGAGGGTCCCAACCTCCGTGGCTGTGGGGGCAGAGAGGCAGGGAGGGAGGCAGAGAACTGTCTCAGGGGTCGACCAGGAAGAGGGGCAGCAATTGGCAGCGATGCCAGGGTATGGAGAGGGAGGGCAGTAGAGCCCCAGACCCCCAGACCAACTTGTCCAGTAGGCTGAGCCCTGGTCATGCAGGAGGAACAGCCTCAGAGCAGTGGTCAGGAGTGGTCAGGGTGGGAAGGATGGCTGGATAGAGCCTAGGGTCTTGAGTCTGCTGGGTGCTCTTTGTTCAATGAGGCTAAGGTGGCAGGGGCGCCGGGGGTGGGGGGGGATACTAGCACACAACTGCTGAGAAGTGACCACTGTGTTTCCAGCTACAGGCCAGACTAACTGTGAAGGCTGCAAGTGTGTCCAGATTGGGTACCACTGTGGAGAGCCCAAGTGTGACACCTGCAAGCCCCATCCATGCAATCCAGGCCAGGAAGTAGTAGTCCAAGGTGGGTACCCAGAGGTGTGCATGGGCAGGTGAATGTGGGTGCCTGTGGGCATGGAGACTGGGCTCGAGGCAGGTAGGCAGCCATGGAAAGGCTGCTCCTTTGAGAGACGATCCTCTCTCAGCCTAGGCTTCTCCATGCAGGAGAAGATACCAGTGCCTTCTCAGGCTGTCTTTGAGGACAGTCGATTCCTTCTGTGTAAGGAAAAGCTCCGATTTGGGGGCGGTTTACCCATGAGGGGAGGGTCCTGAGGAAAGCCTGGAGCTGGGAAGTACCTGAGCAGAAGCAGACTCAGGGCAGGTGGGACTGTGAGCTTGAACCAGCACAGGCTAGAGGGGAGGCCACTCCCTTGGGGACCAGCAGGGCCCCAGCCTCAGCCCCTTTCTCTAGGTGACTGCTGGAGCCAATTGAATCCTTGCTGGCTCTTCCTGCCAACTCTCATCCCCTCCCCACACTGTTCCCCCTCATGTCCACCTGGAAGAGTTCCCCATCCATAGTCACAGCCTATGGGCCTTGCCTCCCCTTCTTCCCACAAGGGCCTGCCTCATCTCATAGGTTGTGTCCGTTGTGCAGCCCTGTGGCTTCCAAGATATCGGATGGATGGATGATATGGGGGATGGAGGAAGATTGTCCCTCTGCAGTGGACCCTGATCCTGCCTCATCCACCCAGTATCCCCTTGCAACCTGTCTATCTGTCGTCCCCAGGGATTTTCAATTTTGGCTTTAAGTGTGTTGACTGTGCTCCTGGGACCTTCTCTGATGACAGAAGTGGCCTCTGCAAGTCAAAGACCAAGTGAGTTCTAGGGGAGAGGGTGTGCGCCCCGGGGAGGAGGGTTTCAGGACCACTTTGAGGAGGAATTGAGATGAGAAGGAGGATGGCATCTTCAGTCCTTCCCAGTGTGATGATATCCAGGATCTCCTGGTGATCGGGTGACCCCTCCCCCAAGAGCTCAAATGACAGCAGCCTAGACAGGGGCTTCCTGGTCACTGCTCTGAATGCCCCATGCCTGTGTTCCAGCTGCTCCATGTTCGGCTTCTCTACTTTGTTCCCTGGGAACAAGACCCACAATGCTGTGTGTAGCTCCAAACCCCCTGCTGAGTCCTGCTCCCTGCTGACCCTGGCCTTGCTCGTCATGGCCGCCTGCATCCTTGTCCTGGTCGTGGTCCACCTGGGCCTGCGCATCTGGGAGCTAAAGAGAACACGCATGTGCTACCGAGGTCAGTGGTGCCCTGGGTGGGGAGCCTCGCTCACACCCCCCTTTGGCCCTCTTTGACAGTAGTCTCTCGCAGGGATACAGCAGCCCCCGGAGGTGTCGCTGCCCGAGGATGCCCACAGCTACCAGCTTCCTGAGGAGGAGCGGGGAGGGCAGCAGGCTGAGGAGAAGGGCCGGCTTGAGAACCTGTGGGTGTGAGGCCTGGCCAGCTTTGTGAGTGACTGGAACCCTGGACCTGCAGCGCCAAGCTGATCCTCCCCTGGGGTGTGGGTGTGTATTGGGGGGATTTGTGGAGGGTGACCCTTCTTTAGCCCCAGCTCCAGGCCCAGCCCTGCTTCCCTCGAGGGTGGAAGTGGGTGTGAGATGGTGTTAGTGATGACCTGACCATGTGAAAGGTCAGACTCGGTGGCTGGGCCTTATGAGAGACATGGATATGGCTTTGACTGAAAGTCTCTTGCAAGCCCTGCTGAGTGGTTTATTGGCCAGAGTGCAGACGTCCTGAACCTGGCTTGGCTGATGGAACAGTCCATTAACATCCGCTGATGACCGCATGTACTTGTGCTTCTTGGTGGCAGGGGTATCAGGAAGCTGGAGACCAAAGCCTCTCCAGTGTCCTCAGTCTCCTCCATGCAGTGCAATGAAGGGGGACAGATAAAGCCTTCCTTCCCCTGGCAGCTGGTGGCTCGGGTTAGGTTGGGGACAGTTAGGGGACATGCCAGCCCAGAGCTTGATTAGGGCCCCAGGCCTGGAGTCTTGCTGGTGCCATGCTGGACTTCTGCCTCCATTGCCACAGGGCTTCCCTGTCCAGGCTCCTCTCCCTTAATGTCCCGAGAAGGCATAATTAGGGGCAGCTCATTCTTTGTCTGTTCCGCATGTAGACTGAAAAGGTATGGAGATAAGCAGCATCCCTGACGTACACTTTTCCTGATTTTGAACCATGCAGTGTTTCTTTGCTGTTCTGCCTTCTGGTCCAAGTATAGGTTTCACATAAGCTCAATCATGTGTTCTGGAATTCCCATTCTTCTTAGAATTGTGATCTGTTTGTGATCCACATAGTCAAATGCCTTTGCATAGTCAATGAAACAGAGAAAAATTCCTCTGGTACTTTCTTTCAGCCAAGATCTATCTATTAGCTGTACTATTCCTCATATCATGGCCTCTTCTAAGCGCAGACTGCAGATCATCCGGGAGGCTGAGCTCCATGAGGAGGAAAGTGGCATCAGGATTGGAGGAAAACACATCAACAACCTGCATAACGCAGATGACACAGCCTTGCTTGCTGAAACTGAGGAGGATCTGAGGCATTTGCAGCAGAAGGTCAAGAACTGCAGCCTTAAATATGGATTGTAGCTTAACATCAAGAAAACAAAGATTGTTACCACTGGGCTGATTGAAGCATCATGATAGGTGGTGAAGAGATTGAGATTATTAACACCTTCGGTTTGCTTGGCTCCACAATCAACACTCTTGGTACCAGCAGCAAGGACATAAAAAGACAAATTGCATTGGGAAAGTCTGCTATCAGGGACCTCTCCAGAGCAATGATGTCAGTCTGGAGACTAAGGTGTACCTGATCAGGCCCATGGTCTTTGCAATTACTTGCTATGTATAAGAAGGCTGGACAATGACTAGGGATGATAGAAGGAGAATTGATGCCTTTGAGCTGTGGTGCTGGAGAAGAGGATTGAATATACCATGGACTGTTAAGAAAACAAACAGGTTTGTCCTGGAGAGGGTATATTAGAGGCAAGGATTCTGAAGCTTTTTCTGTCACACTTTGAACATATTGCAAGGAGGGACCAGTCCTTGGAGAAGGATGTCATACTTGGGAGCGTAGAGGGACAACGCAAGAGAGGAAGACCCTGAATGAAATGGATTGATTCAGTGACTGGGGTAATGTGGGTAGGTGTGTCAGAGACAATAAGGCTCAGGATAGAGCAGGGTTCAGAGCTGTTGTACATAGGGTTGCTATGAGCTGCAAGTAACAACAAAACAACATCCTTTGTCTGATAGGGCTTCCTTCTCTGGATGTCCATGGAGGGTCTGGTTTCTGGGTGAGCCACATAGTCTGCAGGTCTCTGTTCGGTCTCACACAATTCTCTGCCCCAGCATTCTTTGGCTTGGCGGATAGCCTCAGAGTGGCCTGGGTTGGCTCTGCTGTTTCCCTCTCCTGGGGGTGAGGTGGGGTGGCACTCGCTACAAGCTGCCATCTGGTGATATTTGGAAAAGACCTTGGCAGACTGTCCCAGGTATGTCTGTTCCTGCTCCGCAGCACATGCCAACGCCAACCAGCCTTAGCAGGAGCACCCTGCGGGTGCTGGCACATCCCGCCCCCAGACATGTAGCCTCCTCCAGAAACCCCACCCCTGCCCTCTGCCCCAGAAACCCCCTCCACTGAGCTGCTCCGACAGAGAGGAGGTAAGGGGGAGATGATCGCCCTGTCTCCCACTTTTTACACCCTCATATCTGTCCTGCCATTCAGCATGGCTCTCAAGAGATACTGAGGGAAGAGATAATGTTAGATGGAAGAGACAGTGGGACACCTGAGAGGGGTGGACAGTGGACAGTCTGACCCTAGAAACGCCCACTGTCAATGGCTCCTCAGAACGTGACTCAGAACAGGAACTACTGCTCACCTCTTCCTGCCCACAGTGGGTGGAGGCAGACACCAGCAGTATGAACCAGTGCAGAGAAAATACCACATCATCCGGGCACTGAGGCTGGCCAGCAGGCAGAGGTGGCCTGACTCCACAGCATGGTTGAGACAGACTGGAAGAAGAGTTCAGAGAGAGGGACATCTTGTGATGGATCCAGGGGACTGCTCAGCCCCTCTGAAGAGCTTTTTGCCCTCTGGCTCTCTTAGGCTCTCATGGCCCCTAGGGGTTCCCCTCTACACTGTGGGGACAGGGCGTCCAGGCCCTAATAGACACTGAGACCTTTTCAAGAAACTGGTGACGTGCACAGGTCTGGGCACTGCGCCCCTGACTCAGCATGGAAATTCCTCGTGGGCTGCCCTGTGTGGTGTCATCAGGTGGCAGGGCTGCAGGGGATTCCAAAATGGGGTGGGGGACTTGTTGGGGACTCTCTCCCTCCAGGCTGCACCCACCTAGCCACGCCCCCTTGGGTCTTGTTGCTGTGTCCTCAGCCGACCTTCTTCATCAGGTCCCCTCCAGTCACGGCCCTGCCTGCAGTGTAGCCCAGCTCCACACCAGGCCACCTGAGACTGCTGCTGTCTCTCAGGAGTCTGAGGTCTTTAGGGACCAGAGTGGTGCTGGGAAGTGGGTAAAGGCAGCTTTGAGAGTGTGGGGATGTGTATGGCTAGCATAAGGGCAGAGAAGCAGAGGTGGGCTCCGGATTTTGGGAAGAGTTGGGGAGCCTGCCCTTTTCTCCGCAGCCCTTACCCAGCAGTGACATGCTTAACTCCACCACTGGGGCCAGCTTCCTTTCAGCTCCCCCTTCCAACCTTCTTCCCATTGTCTCCAGCCCAGCACATTAGTAGGTGAGCACACATTAGGACTGAATTGGGATGATTGGGTAGGGGTTGTGCCTAGGACTTTAGGACCAAGCCCTGGTCTGGGGCCAGGCAGGCTCAGATCAGAAGGTGTTGGATGGACATGGCTGGGTCCCACTGAGGCTGCTAGGTAGGAGACAAGTCTAAATATGGAGCTGAGGAGATGAGGAGGACAGTCTGCAAGACCTAGAAACAGTAGGGGGTGTGTGTAGGAGATAGGTGTGCACAGCCTAGGCCGAGTTAGGCCAGCAAGGGCTCACTGAGAGAGAGACCCTGCCTTACCAGGAACTGTGAACCCCTCAGAGTCGCCATGAGCACCAGCTGTTTCGGAAAACCACAGCCCTTTCCCACACTCTGGGCCACAGATGGTGTGTCAGTTCAGCCTGAGCCAACGGCCTCAGATAAAGATCCGTCCTCTGTTCCCAGAAGTGCTTCCGCTGTAGTGGCTCCCACCCCTTTCTCTGGCTGGAAGAGGCCCCTGCCTCTCGTGGCACTGAGATACCACCAGTTCCTGCTGGACAGAGATCAAGCTCAGAGGCAGGAAGAAGAGGACAAATGACTCACCTTTCCTGCCTGGCCAGTCTCAAGACAGCCACAAGGGCCAGTGGGAGCGATGGGACACAGTATCACAGACTGAGTGGAACAGACCAGTAGGCCTGGCCACTAGGGGCTCCAACAAGGTTAACACCCCTACCTGTTTCCTTTGCTGTGGCTGACTCTTCAGGGCCTCCATCTTCACTGGCTGAGCTGGGCCCTCCCTCTTCAGCCCCTCTAAGAACTACAGGGTCTCCTAAGCAGCTTTACAAGGGTAGGGAAAATGAGGCACATCCCCCCACCCACCATAAATGCTATCCTTCCAGGAAGCGTCCAGGTGGGGGACTTCCTAGAGAGGGAGTTGATGTAGTCAGGGGTGCTCCCTGCATCTCCTTTAGACAACTTCTAACCCTGATTGTGCTGGCTCTTTAGGGAGCTCTCATGGGGTGAGAATCCTGGGCCTCCCTGTGGACGAAGCATCTAGCAGAACCTGGATCCAGACTGTCAGGTGCTGAGGGAGGCCCTATCTCACTGTCTTTGTTACTATCTCCTGACCACCTCTCCCCTGCACCTTTCCAGCAAGGGCCACCTTGGAGCCCGAGAGAATGGTGGAGTAGGAGACCTGATGATGTAGTGAATAACATCCTGAGTGAAACAATTTCACAACCTTGTTTATTCACTGACACTCAATTAGGCTTTAAAAGAGGGGCACTGCAGACATGAGAGCAGGAGGCACAGTCCAGACCTTTGAGGACATGACAAGGGGTCAGAATAGGGCAGGCCACCCTGCAGACACACCCCCCTCCTGCCCAGGCCCAGATCTGAAGTGGGTCATCTCAAACGGACTGTGCTGTCTGTCATCCTGCACAGTGACACGGCTCTGTGTCTCTGGGCAGAGACACAGGCCCCTTGGCCAATGGAGACAGCTGGACAGTAGTGATGACTCCTGGTGAGACAGGCCTGACCATGACCATGAGGCATGCATGACACATGCATCATAGTGTTAGCCAGGCCAGGGCCTTTGGACAGGTCAAAGGGGAAGGGTCAGAGAAGCCAAGGAGGGTGCCCAGGATGAGAATGTGGCGGGTAATAACTCCAAGGTAACATGGCCATGAATTTCCAAGTAGAACCTTGGAGCCCCAATTGCTTCTCCAGGCCTGCCCAGTGTGTGCTGGTCAAACTTTTTCTCCTGGTCCCAGCCCCAATTCACCCTGAGTAGTCCTTGGCCATCAGGAGAGTCAGCCTGGCTGCAGAAAGAAGAAATCTGTTTCTTCCTTGAGCTCTTTCCCCTCAGTCTCCCAATCTCTGAGGGACCTCTTTACTTTCTCTCTTCTGTCCTTTCAGTGGGTTTCCAAACTTATAAAACAAACGCTTCTGCCCCCTCGAGGGTCTGCTGGTGGATTTGAACCGTCAGAGAAGAAGGGTTATTGGTACAGAGACCTTTGGGTGAGCCGTGGAGCTCTCTGACAGCTGTACCACCAGGGTCCCCTAAATGCTTCTCCCTGCTCAGTCCCTCCTCAACTTTTGCTTTTGGGACACACCTCAGTGGAGGGAGCCCTCTAGTGGCTCTCCTACCTCCTGCTCCTGGGGGAGCTGCTCACCCCAGGCCTTGCTGGAATGAAGCTGGTGGAGGCAGGGCGCCAGGGATGGGGATGCTGGAAGGGGAGGCTGGTTCTGGAGGTGGACCTAAACTGTGGGTTATGCTAAATGAGAAAGAATCTTTGTACGGCCTCTGAGGATCTGGGGTGCTGGCGTTGTAAAAGGGGGTTATATAAAGCAGCCCTTGATCTCTCTGAGTGGGAGGCTATGGGGCCCATGGTCTTCAGATCTCCGTTTTAGACTAAATTTCTTGGGGTCTTAGACGGCCTGCTAGGAGAGTTCCCTCCACTTCAACGGCAGATTCTGGGAACAGGGACTCTAGAAGCCACTGTGGCTGGGTGAGGAGTTGGTAGGGGGATACATGCTGCTGTGGAGGTCGACTCCCTGTTCTCCAGGGCAGGCTCCCCCAGAGGACAGATCTCAGACCCAGCAGAAGAGTGGTGAGGGGCAGTGGGCGGGCGTCATCCCAGGGACTCCACCCCTATCACCAGAGTGTGTTAGAGGGTCAGCGATGTTCAGTCTGACCCTCTGCAGAGCCTTGTATGTAACAAAGTAGCCTTTATAGGTCCCAGACAGGGCGAGCGTCAGCGGCGCTCCTGGTTAGGAGCCCCGGTGGCCCGGGGTTTTGCGCCCTTTGCTCTCCTCCTCGCGCTCGTCCCCCACCCGCTCCGGGGAGCACTCCCGGGCCGGGGCCCCGCCGTCTTCGGGTGGCCTCGGGGCCTCGGCGTCCCAGGGGGCGGGCAGGGAGCCCGCGGCGCCGAGCCCCCGGGCCTCGGGGTCCTGTTGCTGCCGGGGTCGGCGCTGGAGGGCCGAGCAGGACCGCGGTGCGCTGGAGCCCCGAGGTGGCGCGGGCTTGCGTGCGCCCGGCCGGTCGGCGGCCCGGACCTGGGGCGGCGGCGCGGAGGGAGCGGTCTCGCAGGACGGCCGGGGACCCAGGGACGCGGGCGAGGGCCGGTAGATTGGCCGCAAGCCGCCCAGGCGTGGCCACAGGTCCGTTTCGCCGTTGTGCAGAAGCACAAAGTGACGCTGAGACAGCAAAGGCAGCATCTTTTGGCTGTGCAGGCTCTTCTGGAAGGTCTCCAACGCCAGGTCTGCAAGTGTGGAGGAGGGTGAAGGAAGGGGGCGGGCAGGGGGAGGGGCGGGGGCCGAGAAGAGTGGGGCTCTCATGTCCATAAATTGGGGCATAAGGTGAGAATTAGCAGGGACATCCGCTTCTAGGAGGGCCAGGTTAGTGGGGAGAGGATGGGTGGGTGATTGCCAGGGGGTCTTAAGAGCGGAGTGTATGTGGGGGTTGCTCTGCCAGTGCCTCACCGAGGGTTTCCATGACCACAGCAGGGATCACCTCCTTCAGCACCTCACAGTTGGTGTGTAGGGCCGGGTTGGAGTTCATTTCCAGCAGCCACACCTGAGGTCAAGGGTGGTCAGTAGCCCCGCCCCCAAAGGCTGCTTGGCCAGGGGGAGGCAACGACGCTGGTCCCCACTAATCTGGGTGCCATTGGACTGGCATTTGTGTCTGTGGCCTCATTGTCCCTAATTTGCTCAGGAGCTGAGGCTCTAAGGATCTTTCTGGGCTTGGGGGTCTACCCCAAGGAAGGGGTGCCCCTAATGGGAGCAGAGGACTCAGCCTCTTAGATATGTCAACCCCAGGGCTGGGTGGGGCAGGGTGGGGTCTGGAGGAAGTCACATTATGAACAGATGGTCAATGCCTGCTCACACCTGTCAACCTGCCCCCACCACTCCCACGCTCAGCTGCACCTTAAAGTTCTCATCGATCAGGAAGTCACAGCCAATGAGATCGAAGTAGCCCAGTTTGCAGTCCAGCTTGGATTTGACAGCCAGGAAGCAGTGGGCCATGATTTGTTGCATCCGCTTCTATAAGTGGGGGACTGTTGGTTAGGGCCCACCACCTGTCACCTCTCAGCCCGAACAGTCAAAACCTCATCACTCATCTGTCGCTGTTCCCTGCACGCTCACCTCTACCCCTCCCAGTGTGCTCACCTGTAACTCATCTACACACTCACAGGTGCACCGCTCACCTGCACAGCTCTACATCACACAACTCTCAAAGGCAGAAATTAATTCACATCAGTTTCATTCAACACATTAAAAATTCATTTAACACATTCAGAGAGTTTCTATAATACACTGTGTACTAAGGTTACAATAGTGAACTAAGTGTATAAGGACCCCATGTCTTCAAACAGCTTCCTCAAGTTAGGGGAGACAGGCATGTAAAATACAAATATATTACATATATTGTGTGGCATAATAGAAACTACTCAGGGACTTCTACAAATTATTGAGGAGCAATGATGTCAGTTTGAGGACTGACGTGTGCCTGATTCAGGCCATGGTGTTTTCAGTCACTTGTTGTGCATCTGAGAGTTGGACAATAAATAAAGATGACAGAAGAAGAATTGATATCTTTCAGTTATGGTGAATGGATTGGCAAAAGAAATGTCTTGGAGAAGGTGCAGCCAGTGTACTAGGAGGCAAGGATAATAAAGCTTCATCTCACATATTTTGGGCAAGTTGCTAGGAGAGATTATTCCTTGGAGAGGGGCATGATGCTTGGAAAGGTGGAGGGTTGGTGAAAGAGACTCTCCACCAGGTGGATTGACACAGTGACTTCAGCAATGGCCTCAAGTGTGAAAGAAATGATGAAAATGGCACAGGATAGGACAGAGTTCAGATCTATTGTACATATGGTCTCTATAGGTTGTACTTGACTCAATGGCACCTAACAACACCACCACCACCAACATAACAGAAAGTGATAAATGCTAAGGGAAAACGATGTAGGATAAAATTTTGCTGAAGATTATCCAGAAATGACTGGAACAGTACACTGACAGAGAACTAACAGAAATACAAGCTGGGTTTAGAAGAGGTCATGGCACTAGAGACATTATTGCCAGTGTCAGATGGAACAAGAATGTCTAAGTTTTGCTGACTATGCAAAGGCATTTGTGTGGATCACAAAAAATTGTGGCTAACCTTGAGGAAAAGGGGAATCCCAGAACACTTGATTGTGCTTATGTGAAACCTATACTTGGACCAAGAAAACAATGCATAGTTCAAAATCAGGAAAGGAGTGCGTCAGGGATGCATCCCGTCCCCATTATTCGGGAAGCAGGGCTTTATGAGGAGGAGTGTGGCATCAAGATTGGAGGAAAACTCATTAATAACCTACAATATGCAGATGACACAAGCTTGCTTGCTGAAACTGAAAAAGACCTGAAGTACTTGCTGCAAAAGATCAAGGACTATAGTTTTCAATATGGATTGAAACTCAACATCAAGAAGACAAAGATTCTCACCACTGGGCCAACTGGCAGCACCATAGTAGATGGAGAAGAGATTGAACACTAGCGGTCAGGAAATCACCTAATCCAGGCCATGGTCTTCTCAATTATTTGGGTTGAATAATGACTAAGGGTGACAGAAGACTTGATGAGAAGAGTCTTGAATATACCATGGACTGCCAAGAAAACAAATAGGTCGTCTTGGAGAGGGTGAAACCAAATCTCTCTCCTTGGAGGCTAGGATTTTGAATCTCCACCTCACTTATTTTGGGCATGTGGCCAGGAGAGACTGGTCCTTAGAGAAGGACAACATGCTTGGAAGGGTGGAGGGACAACACAGGAGAGGAAGACCCCTGATGAGATGGAGCAATGAGGGTTGGTGTGTCAAGAGCTAGTGAACCTAACTCAGGACAAGAAAGGGTTCAGAGCTGCTGTACATAGGGTCACTATATATTGTAGGTGACTCAAGAGCACATAACAACAATAACATTCTATGACAGGTTTGGAAGCAGGAGTGACATCCACTTCCTAAATAACATGCCTCTGGAAACTTTGATAAATGTTGTTGATTGTAGAGGGGCTTCAGGCTTTTTGTTCATGGGGTCTCTAGGAGTTGTGCTTGACTCAAAGGCAATCAACAACAACAACGATTCTTTCTATAGATGTAATCAATCTGATTCCTGTATAAGCCAGGTAAGGCCCAGATAAGGCCCATGTGTATAGTCACTGTTTATGTTTTTTAATAGAAGGTATTTGGAATGAATAAATCATTTCCAAAAATTCTATCTCCATTCTATCTTCAGCCTTAGTATCCAGTATATACAGAAAACAGCTTAATGATAGAAATGTGAAAGGTTATAGATCATAGACTTCTCTAATAAGCACATAAAAAGATGTTCAACATCACTAGCCATTAGGGAAATCTAAGTCATCGTTATAATGAGATGTTACTTCATATCCACCTACTCATCAAAATGAACAGAATAACAAAATCCCCCCAAAATAGGTGCTGAAGAGAATGTGAGGAAATTAAAACCCTCACAAATAGCTGGTGGGAACATAGAACCACTGTGGAAAAGTTTGCTATTTCCTCAAAGAGTTAAATAGAGAACTGAAGGCTTGTCTATATAGAAACTTGTGCACCAGTGCCCAAGGCAGCAATAGTCATAATTGCCAAAAAGTAGAAAACAACCCAGATGCCCATCAACTAATGAGTGAATAAGCAGAATAGAAACTGATGTTGTTAGGTGCTCTAGAAGTGACTATGACTCATCGCGACCTAACGAATGAAAGATAGGAACCTTGCCTTTCCCTGCCCCCTCCTCATGATTTCCGATATGTTCATTAGACATGCTCAAATAAATGTGCCATTCTGTATGCAGAACAAATCACGCAGGAGGCTGGACTTTATGAAGAAGAATGTGGCATCTGATTGGAGGAAAACTCAACAACCTACATTTATGCAGATGACACAATCTTACTTGCCGGAACTGAGGAGAACTGGAGGCATTTACTGCAGCCTTCAATATGGATTGAAGCTCAACATCAAGAAAACAAAGAGTCTCACCACTGGGCCAGCTGGCAGTAGTATCATGATAGATGGAGAAGAGATTGAGATTGCTAATAGCTTCAGCTTGCTTGACTTGATAATCAACATTCTTGGTACCAGCAACCAGGAAATCAAAAGATGAATTGTATTGGAGGAATCTGCTGTCAGAAACCTCTCCAGAGTACTGAAGAGCAACAATGTCTAGACTGAGACAGTCTAGATGTGCCTGATCCAGGCCAACATTTTCACAATTACTTGCTATGCAACAGAGAGCCAGACAGTGACTGAGGATGACAGACAAATTATTGATGCTTTTGAGTTTTGGTGCTGGAGAAGAGTATTGCATAACTGCTAACAGGACAAATAGGTCTGTCCTGGAGAGGATGAAACCAAGCTGCTCCTTGGAGGCAAGGATTTGGAAGCTCTGTCTCACATTTTTTGTGCATGCTGCCAGGAGGCACGAGTCTTTGGAGAACATTGTGCTTGGAAGAGTGGAGGGACAGAGCAAGAGAGGAAGACGCTGGATGAGATGGATTGACTCCGTGACTGGGGTAATGGGGGTGGGGGGTGTAGGTGTGACAGAGACAATGAAATGGACTCAAGATAAAGCAGAGTTCAGAGCTACTGTACACAGGGCCCTATGAGTTGCAAGCTACTCGACGGCACATAACAACAACAGTAGTCACCTGCCAACCCAACTTGTTGAGGGTTTTCTTCTCTTTCTCTGACCCTCCCATCTTCCCCAGCATGTCTTTTACCAAGCACTGGCCTCTGAACACACACACACACACACACACCATCCTTGCCTTAAAAGAGCACCCTGATCTACAACCAGGAGAAGATAAAATAGATGAATGGGACCTTCTAAGAATCAAATCCCTATGTACATCCAAAAACTTCTCCAACAGGGTAAAAAGTGAAGCCACAGACTGGGAAAAAGTGTTTGGTAATGACATGTCAGATAAGGGACTTACATCTAGAATTTATAAAATACTTGAGCACCACAACAAGATAAAGATAAATAATCCAATAGAAAAATGGGCATAGGATAAGAATAGACACTTTGATGCAAATCAAAACAACTATGAGATATCATCTCACCCCAGTCAGAATAGCAAAATTTAACAGAACAGCAAGCAACAAATGCTGGCGAGGCTGTGGAGAAACTGGAACCCTTATTCACTGTTGGTGGGAGTGTAAAATGGTGCAACCACTGTGGAAGGCGGTATGGCGCTTTCTCAAAAAGTTGCAAACAGAGATACCATTTGACCCAGCAATTCCACTACTGGGAATATACCCCAAAGAGACCATAACTGACATCCAAGCAGATATATGCACACCCGTGTTTATCGCAGCTCTGTTCACAATAGCAAGGAGTTGGAAACAACCCAGGTGCCCATCAACAAACGAATGGGTAGAGAAGCTGTGGTATATTCACACAATGGAATATTATGCTGCATTGAAAAACAAGGAACTCATTCAATATTATTCAAAATGGGTGAGCCTGGAGTACATTATGCTGAGTGAAATATCTCAGTCAAAAAAGGACAAATATTGCATGGTGCCACTGCTGTAAAATGGGACTGATATCAGGGTGGGGGTAAGACTGAGAAAAACTGGATAAATTGTGTATACTGCACTGAAACAGATGAGGGACTGAATAATTTAAAAGCGATGTATGATAGGGTATTGTGGTTATCACAGGAGTCCACGGTCGGGGTTGCATAGTGGAATGTACTTGGGGTGGTGGGAGGGGTGCGGGGGGATTGTGTACCAGGGAGGGAGTCTTTCTTTTGCTTTTGAGAGAGAGGAGCGAACTGGAGGGTGGGGGGAGAGGGCTGGGCAGGGAGAGAAATGCAGCAGTGAATGAATGGAAATCCAAATTCTCTGTAAATGTTCATTAAAATTATTTAAAAAAAAAAGAGCACCCTGGTTTATTCTTGTTTATTCTCTTGGCAGTCCAGTGCGCTTTGCCAACATCACAATTCAAAGGCACTGATTACAGAAATTACAATAGAAATATTTAGCTATAAAAAAAATTCATGCTCCAACCATGGTGAGCCCCTTACATGCAAATCAAGAAAAGAATTCATGCTCTACCATGGTGAGTCCCTTCCATGCAAATCAATGCTTACCAGGGGCTACGGGGGCTGAAAGGGCTGGAGAAGAATGCACAATGGTACAGAATTTCTTTCTGAGGTAATGAAAACAGTCTGGAATTAGGGGTAATGGTTACACCACCTTGTGAATATACTGAAAACCAGTGAATGACTTGTGTGTGAATTATATCTCAACTTTAAGAAAGGAGAGAGGAGGAAATTGTAGACGCCTCAAAGTGATGATTTCCATCACCCAGTTACACACCAAACACACTATAAGACTGTCACACACACACACACACACACTCAGGTGACAACATGTGTGTCTTGTACCTGGTCCCACACAGATGGTAACACTGCTATACACAAAACACAGACATGCACTCAGACAGATAGAGAAGTAAAGACATATAGACAAACACAAATGTGTACTTTCTCTCACGCACATACCCTCCCCACACATACATTCTTAGAGATCTGACCCCTAGTGCTCAACCTGAGTGCCCCCCTCCCTCCCCAGACACACCGTAAAGGTGGTGAAGACCCAGTCTCTGGGGAGGCCCTTGGTTTTCCTGAACTTGTCGTTGATGTAGCAATTAAGGTGCTCCATGCTCCACACCGTGTCCTCTTTGAGCAGCATGTAGAGGGGGCTCTTCTTTTGCATGAACTGGGAGTGGGTGGATACAAGGCTTGGAGACCACCCAGGACACCCATGCCCCATGGACAGTGCCTGCAGAGACCCTAAAAAGACCCCCTTGAACTAATTCCCCTGCCCACAATCCTCCATTTCTGAGACCTGACCCTGCTCAGCCTGCCAGCTTCCTTTCAGGAATTCTCTCTGAATGCATCCCCCCTTGAGTCTTCCCTATGAAAACCCTCTTTAGAGACCCTAGACTTCAAGCTGGAAACCCACCAATGCTCCATGGTCAGCACATGCGTGTGCGTAGGGAAGGACAGGGCCCTGAATCACTCAGGACAGTGGGGCCTGCAAAAGTAAGAGGACAGGCCAGCCCACCTCAGGGCCCAGGCCCTCTGTTTCCTCTAGGAGTGAATGTCATTCTCTGGTTACTGCCCTTCCCTGTCTGCGGTCAGGGGGACATTATCTGTGAGGGCCCTCTCCTGGAAGGCCTTTACCTGGTTGGTCAAGTGGCCACTGAGGTCATCAGACTGGGGATCGTAGAGCCCAAGGGTGAGGCGGGCGTAGCCGTGGCCAAAGAAGACCATGTAGGGCATGGCGCAGGCGATGAGCAGGTATGAGCGCACATCAAACTTCTTCCCGTCCAGGAGCAGTGGGTTCTCGATGTACCTGGGGGGCGTGCAGGCTGCTAGGCCGAGCTGTACAGCCAACTGGCTGCTGCCTAGCATGATAGGGCCCTTCTTGCCTCACCTGCACCTTCTGTTTTTTGGGTTTTTTTGCACCTTTTTAAAAAGTCTTTTTTTTTTTACTGGTTTGCATCTAATCATTCATGTACGCTGTGGTTTTTACATGTGCTTTGCACTTTATGCAAACATTACATTCACTCGTGCTCCTTCTTTCAAGTCTCAGGTGTGACCCTTGGGCTCCCTCTACTGGCCAAAAGCACTGGTAGAGGGACATTTCGGAGCCTGTGGGGGCCTTGCCTCTAGAACCAGCTCCCTGCATGGATCTGGGGCAGTTCTCAGTTGGAGCCTGGAGGATGGAAGCAAACTGGGACAGGAGGGCTGCCTGGCGGAGGAGGGAGTCTGTTTGGATGAGGAGGTGGAAGGGGCCACCTGAAGAGAGAGGAAGGGGACTGCCTGGAAGAGGAAGACTGGAGCCACCTGGAAAAAGAAGGGACTGCCTGGAAGAGGGGGAAAGAAACAAAACCCTCATTGTCACCGAGTTGGGATCAGCTCAAATCATTCTCTCCTGTGAGCTTTCAGAGTCTATGATAGCACAGGAGACGACTGCCCGTGAAGTTGGTGAATCTGAATTGCCAGAATGGTGCTCTCTTTGAATCAGCAACACAGCCAGACATGGGCTAATGTAAGCAGAACTACATGACTTTGGAGAGGGAATGAGGGAAGATTCTATGGGGTGAGCCTCGGAAACAAGAACAAGCCAGTTGGGGAGCCTCAGTCCAGCAGCTGGTGGTTCCTTAGGGGTCTCATCGGTGTCCCTGACCCCTGGTGACCTTTACCACTGCTGTGAGTCAATTCTAACTCCTAGTGACCCTACATTGGGTTTTCACCGTAAACATTTATGGAAGGAAGTGGCCCATCTTTCTCCTGCAGAGAGGCAGGTGGATTCTAGCTGTCAGTCTTGAAGCTAGCAGTTGATGGTTACATGCAGAGCTACCAGGATGAGGCAAATGAGATTTTATGGCTCAGCTCTGGGGGCATCACGGCTCTCCGCTGCCACGTGCTTACCTGTGACCCTCTGACCCCCATGAACTCTCAACAGTGGGGGCCATGGCGTGGTTCCCCATATTAGACCCCAAGTGGCGCCCCCACCTCCCACCCACCTCTGCACGATTCGCGCCTGAGGCCCTCGGAAGGACATCTTGCGGGAAGTGGGGTCATCCTCCGTGTTCTGTGTCTTGGCCTGAAGGGCTGCTGCATCCTCCTGGCTTCTTAGCAGGAAGATGCCTTTGCCCTGATTGGACGCTGTGGGCTTGCAGATCCAGGTCTGGGTCTCTGCAGAGAGCACTCCCTGAGCCCATGATCAGCCACAGTCCCAACTCGGCCCACCCTAGCCCGTAGCCGCACCCCTACCTTAGTCCTACTCACACCTCCACCTCCCCTTGGACCCAGCCCTTGGCCCAGCCTCAACCCCATCTCTCCAGGAGGGCTCCCCACACTCGCCCAGAGCCCACCAGCCTCACCATCAAATAGGGTGAAAAAAGCCTCTCGCTCATCCTTGATGTCTAGACGATAGGTTTCTGGGAAGAAGTCTTCCATTTTCAGGATCCTGGGGAACAGGGAAGTGGACATAGGATCGCCCCCCTCCGGGATGGCTCAGGTGGCCAGTGCAGCCTCTGGTCACGCTACCTTGCAGGCCATCACCTCTATAGGGACCCCTGCCAACTGCCTGGCCTCCCTGGCGCTGCTCTCCTGGTCTGGGGCTTGGGCATTTGTGAGATATCTCAGAGTTGTGTTCCTGGGGCCTGGCATCCAACAGTTGGGCAGTCAAAGCCCAGAGGTGCCAGGGCTCAGCTGCTGCCTTCTCTTGATCTGAGATGCCCATGGTTTTATTTTTTAAATTTTTATTAATTTTGTGTGTGTGTGTACTGTCAAATCAGATCTGACTGGTACAGGAGAAGATTGTCCCTCCTCCAACAGAGCATCTGGTGGATTTGAACTACACGCCTCTCGGATTGCAGTGCAGTTTCCTGCCACTAGGCCACCAGAGCTCCCTAGAGATGCCTGTTTTTATCTAATACCAGGTCACCCTTCCATCTGGAAATGGCCTCTCCTGTCCTATCTAAAAGCTTCTTGTTTTGCGACTGGAGGCATCCTGGGCTGGCCCGTGGGAGCTCCTCATAGATTTGTGTTGTGTCCTTTCTAAATCTGTCCCCTGGGGATCACAGGACTTGGCCTGCATGGGCAGCTCAGTTACGTGTGTGGTAGGAATGGGTGGGGGTCTGGCAGAAGAGGAGGATGGCTAGGAGCATGGAGATAAACAGACATGTGAGTATCAGTCGGTGGGCAGGTAAATATGTGGATTTTGAATGCAAGTTTAGGTGGTTAAATGAATGAATTTTGGATAAATGGGTGCATAAAGGGATAGAGGAGGAAGAGGAGGTGGACTCTGAATTAGTGACAAGGGATGATGCAGAGTGCAGGGGTGACCGCCTGGGTGGGCTGTGGGGTGTGTGTGTGTGAGAGAGACTGGAGAGGCTGGTGAGAGGAAGGTGAGAAGTTGGGCGGGATGGTGATGGGTGGACGTGTGGGTGACTCATTGCTGAGTGAGGTGGGTGCTGGAGGGCAGTGACGAGTGATGCTGGGCTGAGGTGTGGGGTGGGCGGGTAGGGATGCAGATGGGATTGAGGTGGGCAGTGCTCCCACATGAGGGCAGGAGGACGTGGCTGGGGAGCGAGTCAGTGGGCGGGAGCCTGGGTGCAGCAGCGGGCTTACTTGGTTTGGGTGGACATGGACGTCTTGTTGATCTTGCTCACGACCCTCGCGTACTCCCTCAGCGTGCTGAGCAGCCCTATCTTGGTGGTGAGGAGCTTGCTGTTGGGGAGCTGGTACAGGAGCTGTTCACCTGGCAGGCACAATGGAGCCCCGGGCAGCATCAGGTGGCCTTTGCGGGGCCACGGCTACCCTGCTATCTTCACCACCCCGATTATGTCCAGCCACCTTGACCACCCTGGCCTCCCTGTGAGGTGGCCTGATGCCTGCCACGAGTTCCTGCTGCTGGGCAGGGCCCTCCAGGGTCCTGAGCTGGGTCTTTGGCTGGGTCCCCTGTCCCTATACCTTCCCGGAAGCTGCAGTAGGTGTCTCGGCACTTGACCTCACACCACTTGAGTTTGTAGTCCTCCCGCCGGCTGTCCTGGGTGCGCTGCCAGCCTTTGCTCTTACAGTAGGCGCTGATTCTGCAGGGGAACGGCAGGCACGAGCTGGGCCTGGGGCCATGGGCACCCCGGGCAAGTGAGGACGTTGGGGGAGGGGCCATGGGAACTCAGGGCCAGAGGGACATGGGGACCCTGGAGGGAGTGGGGACCTAAGCTTGGGGACCCTGCTGGAAGGGTATGAAGACTCTGGGGGCAATAGGGACCCCAGGGAAAGGGCATCAGTGACTCAGGCCTAGGAGCCCTGGGAGGGCATGGGGGACCCCAGGAGAGGGAGTGAGATTTTGGGGAATACTCAGAGCTGAGACTGGGCCCTGGGCACGGGGCTAGGGGCAGTGATAGCGGGCTCCCCTCACATAGAGGCGCCATTGGTGCCCCCGATGTAGAAGAAGGGGCCCTGCCCAGCAACGGGGGACTGTTTCTCCCCCTCCAACAGTTGCTCTTCCCGGGAGGCAGTCAGGAGTCCCGTGCTGTCAGCGTCATCCAGGAGGTCTGCAGATAGTGGGTGGTCAGAGGGCGGATTCCTTGTCCTTCCACCCCCTGGCTTCACGCCCTCAGACCCCGCCCACCTTCATCATGGTCCAGCTGGCTTAGCTGACGCAGGAGTTTCTCCTCTTGGTTGCTGCCCATTGACCTCTCAGGGGTCCAGCCTGGGGATGGGATGGCATCAGGCTTGGGGTGGGAGTGCCTATACAGCTCTGATGCCCAGATTGCCACCATTCTAGTGTCCCCTGGGCGTCTCCCCAGCCCCAGTGTTGACCTCAACATCAGCCCAAAGGCAAAGGGGATAGTCACCTCCATTCAGGGACTGGGATGCAGGGTTGCTCTGCTTTGAAGCCAGCTAAGTGCCCAGGCAGAAAGGCACCCCTGATAAGACCCCCCTGTTTGTGTCCTCAGCTCCACTAAGGTCTTGGGCTGGGGAGCCACACAGCACCGGGAAGGGTACCCTCACCCTCCTGACTGGCTGGGCACGGCTGGGCCGTGGGAGGGGACTAAACTTTAAGGCTGGGGCTGAGCCAGACCATCCCCAGGAGTGATGGGGGGGTCACAATGTCCATGATGATGTCACATCTGACCCACGGGCCAACTGTCCGGCCAAGAGGGACTGCTCTCTACCCTGCCCTGGGCTTGCGTGGATAAAGGCCTTTGGGGTATTTGGGTTCACAACACAGCTTGGGGCTGGAAGGACAGTGTCTGTCCCCGACCCTGTCCTGCTTTGCTGGTCCATTCTGCACCCCCCATGTGGCTCATCTCATGGGTGGTGGCCATATGACCTGACCAAGTGCAAGTGAACATGCACCTCCATTCCCTCCACTCCCAGCCCCAGAGGGAGGGTAACGGCCCACCTAGGGGGTGTCATGCTCACCTTGTGCTGGGGGGCGGTCTTGTCTAAGCACTGCCTCCCTTGGCTGCTTGTTTTTCTTGGTGCCGGTTTGCACTTGTTTAGGGGTTCCTCGGCAATGGATAAAGTGGGCGTGGCTGCGGACTGGGGCTGTAGGGGCACTAAGACAAGGGCCCCTTTGAGATGCAGGTCCTGCTTTCTTTCCGGGCCTTGAGGTGGCCTGGGGGCCTGGCCCTTGGCCTGGGCTTGTGCTCAGGCCCACCCTACCCGGGGATGGGAGTCTCTCTGGGTTCTGGGTAAGGTCCACGGCCTGTGGCTGGCTCTGGTCTCTCTGTGGCCTGTGAGGCTTGTTGTCTCGAGAGGGCAAGGCCGAATCTGCATCCTGTTGGCCCCGGGCGTGACCTCCTTCAGCAGGACTGTCTGTCTGGTGTCGTTCTGCACCGCCTTGGCGTTGGCTACTGTAAGGAGAGTCTTGGCCGTGTCTGACGTGGACAGAGCAGTGCCGAGCCCCCTCCCCACCTGCCCAAACAGCAGCTCCTGGAAGACTCTCCCTCCCATTCTTACCTGAGCTTATGGCCTCTTGAGGTGCCCCCTCTCTTAAGCACTCCTTTCTGTGTTGCTGACCTTGAATATTTTGAAGAATTTCTAGACAATTTCTTTATGGCTCCTTTCGCCTTAACACCATTGAATAAGCCCTTTTCTCGGCCTGCCGGGTGGGACGTGGCCTGGTTGGACACCTGGATCCCTTTAGCTCTGTCCGGTGCCCTGCAGAAGAGGGCCAGGTCAGAGAGGAGGTGAGCAGGGGACAGTAGGGGGTAGACAGTCCTGGACAGACGTACAAAGTGGGAAAATGCTACCCAAACCAAGAACCAAGACGAGAGATGAGGCCAGGGTTGGGGCAGGGCCTTAGGGCAGAAAAGCTGTGTCTCATACACTGACCCGAGACGTCGTGACTTTGTATAGGCGTAGACTTTCTGAAGGCGTGCACGGCTAACAGGAAAGCAAGTGAACCTGGAAGCGTGGCTGGATGGTGCTTCGGCGATCAAGGGCCTGCCCCTGAGAACAGAGAAACCTCTAAGCTCGGCCTGGCCTAGCATGATGGGCCCCACGTTAAAGCCTCAGATACACAGAGCTTCTGGGGTGGGGGTGGGGGTTGCTCCTGCTCTATTCTGAGTGTGTGGCCGCCCAGGCCTCCTAGACTGTTGAGGGAGGCCACCCGTACAGACACAATCGCACAGAGGAAGAGCTAACCTGAAAACCCCTGATTACAAACAGCAAGGGCTTGGTCTCCCTCCTAATCCAGAAAGGCACAAGACGCTGTTAAGGTGACATAAGAATTTGTGGCTGGAAGTTCAAGTTGGACATTTTGAAAGCACCATTCAGGAACTGAGTGTTGCAGGGACAGGGGTTTCTGAGGCTGGACCAGCTGAAGGGAGGACATGGCGCAAGGACCACCTAGAGGGACATACCATGCGGAGCCAACAGCCAGGGTTAGACCTTCCTAAGCAGACACAGTGGCACAGTGCTGGGGGCTGAAGGATGTCTGCGGGGCTTACAGCCAGGCTGTATCTGGCAAGCCAAATGAGGAGGGAAAAGGCTCCCAGAGGGAGATTTTGCTGGACCAGTGATGCCCCCTGCTCAGTGGTCGGCTCCCATGTCAGCTGTGACCTGGAGCATTCGCCTGCTTCTCTGTACCTTGGTCCCCTCATTGGCATGCGGGGTGGGAACAAAGCCTGGCAGGACTATTGGGAGAATGAAGTCTAGAACTGCAGTGGCTTAGGGTGTGTACTGTGTCCCCAGTGAGTGCCACCAATGGGGATGGCAATGGTGAGGACAAGGAGGAAGGGGCAGTGCCATCGAGCTTAGAGACAGTCAGGACGAACTATGTAGAAAAACAAGCAGATGGAAAAGCAAAGTGATTTATTAATCCCAGAGAGAACAAAAATGGTCTCATCATCAAGGCCAATTGTGAGGATGGCTGTGGCTGTGAGCATGGCCGTGTGCATGGCTGTGCATCTAGCTATGAACATGGATGTGTATGTGGCTGTGAGCATGGCCATGAACATGACTGTGTGTGTGGCTGTGAGCGGGGCTGCATGCTTGCCTGTGAGCATGGCGGTGTGGCTGTGAGTGTGGCCGTGAGCATAGCCATGTATGTGGCCATGAGTGTGGCTGTGTGCATGGGTGTGAGCATGGCTGTGAGCATTATTAGCCCAGTTATAATCAGAATGTGGCAGGATGCAAGAGAGCAGAACACATCAAGAGAGGTCTCCCACCATGGAAATTCAAGTAATAACATCATCTTGTTGTTATTATGTGCCGTCGAGTCGCTTGCGACTCATAGCAACACTACGTACAACAGCCCTAAACTCTGCTCTGTCCTGTGCCAATCGCACTGTCTCTGACACTCCCATCCCGATTACCCCGGTCACTGAATCAATCCACCTCATAGAGGGCTTCCCCTCCTGCGCTGTGCCTCCACCCTACCAAGCATCCTTCTCCAAGGACCGGTCTCTCCTTAAAACATGGCCAAAGTATGTTAGACGAAGCTTCAGAATCCTTGCCTCCAAGGAGCATCCGGTTTAACCCTTTCCAGGATGAATCTGTTTGTTTTCCTAGCAGTCCATGGTACTCTCAATACTCTTCTCCCAGCACCACAGCTCAAAGGCATCAATTCTCTTTTTATCCTCCTTAGTTATTGCATAACAAGTGATAGCAAAGACTATGGCCCATAGCAGACACACCTTAGTCTCCAGAGTGACACCATTGCTCTTTAGTACTTTGGAGAGGTCCCTAATAGCAGACTTTCCCACCGCAATACATCTTTTCATTTCCTAGCTACTGGTGCCAAGAGTGTTGACTGTGGAGCCAAGCAAACTAAAGCTGTGAACAATCTCAATCTTTTCACCATCCATCCCAATGCTGCCAATTGGTCCAGTGGTGAGAATCTTTGTCTTCTTGACATTGAGCCTCAATCCATATTGGAGGCTGCAGTTCTTGATCCTCTGTAGCAAGTGCTTCAGGTCCTCCTCAGTTTCAGCAGGCAGGGTTGTGTCATTTGTACAACGCAGATTATTGATGAATCTTCCACCAATCCTGACACCACACTTCTCCTCATAGAGCCCAGCCTCCCGGATAATCTGTTCTGCATACAGGTTGAAAAGGTATGGAGACAGGACACATCCCTGGCGTACGCCCATCCCAATTTTGAACCACGCAGTGTTTCCTTGCTCCGTCCTGACAACTGCCTCTTGGTCCAAGTATAGGTTTCGCATTAGAACGATCAAGTGTTCTGGGATTCCCATTCTTCTCAGAGTCAGCCAGTTTGTTATGATCCACACAGTCAAATGCCTTTGCATTGTCAATGAAACAGACATTCCTCTGGTACTCCCTGCTTTCAGCTAAGATCCATCTAACATCAGCTACAATATCCCTAGTACCACGACCCCTTCTAAACATCATAGGGGTACTAATTAGAAATAAGATGCTAATTCTCAGATGGAACTGCTTGAAGAGGTGGCTGAGATTGCCCTGGATATAGAAGAGAGTGGGACGGGCAGGCAAGGAGCTGCTTGCTTTGTAAACCTTATAGTTTGTCTGACCTTCCTAACTGCTATTGAAAGGAGCTCTGGTTGTGTAGGGCATTGTGTTGTGCTGCTAGCTCGAATCTGCCAACGGCTCACAGAAGTCTGCTCCCAGAAAGACTTACAACCTTGGGGACCCAACAGAGGGTTGCTGTGGGTCTGAGTCAACTTGATGGCAGTGCTTGCTGTGGTGTGGACTTGAGCTAGGAGGCAGTGGTAGAATTCTTGCCTTCTATGTAGGAGAAACAGGGAAAAAACTCTCATCGCCATCAAGTTGGATCCAACTTAGAGCTGATGTTCCATTGGGTTGCTGAGGTCATAAATGCCACAGGAGGAGGTTGTCCATCTTTCTCCCTCAGAGCTGCTGTTGCAGTGGATTCAAATTGCCAAGGAGGCCTGGTTTTAGGACTAACAGCACAATTCCCTATGGGCTGCATCACCTGGGTGTGATTCCTGCCAATGCATCTGATGGACATCTAGCTATCACACTTATCTGCCAGGGGAGGCGAGGACATGGACCAGGTTTCATTATTTAAGAAAGACTACAAAGAAAAGCCTAGAAATCTCCAAAAATCAGCCAGTGGATCCCATGACTCGATCCCAAGATGGGGCAGGACCGGGCAGGGCTTTGGTGAGCTAGAGGTCCACTTGACAACTGAATATTTAAAACTTCCACCCAGAAAGTAAATTCACAAGCACCGAAGCATTATTTCTGGTACAAA